TTGTGTAGTTCTGGTCAGCCAGCACTACATCCCCTTTGATGATATCTTTGTGTAGTTCTGGCCAGCCAGCACTACATCCCTTTTAATGACATCTTTGTGTAGTTCTGGTCAGCCAGCACTACATCCCCTTTGATGATATCTTTGTGTAGTTCTGGCCAGCCAGCACTACATCCCCTTTGATGATATCTTTGTGTAGTTTTTTTTATAATTGCTTTTCAATATGTAAGGTAGTGTTTTTTCATCTAAAATATATTTAGTGCTGTGACCTTGGTATTAAATATTTTATTCAGTGCTGAAAGGGTTAAATTACAAAGTATTAACATAACTTAAAAACCAAGTTTCGGTGCATTACCTGTACATTATATGGTAGAGACAGCAAGAAGATGCTGCTGTGTTTGGGTACACTACAGCCGTGGTAGTGATAAAGACAAAATGTGTGATTTTACAGCATTTCAAGCTTTGATAAAAATGATTCTAATTAATCATGTTTATTAACTTTATACTTTCAATTTACACAAGTGGGCTTCTTTGGCTGTGAAAGTACACTGTTTAGTAGTTGAGGTCATCTTTTTTTACATGCTACTGGCTTCTAATAACATGAAACTTTCTATACTTACAACTTTACTTATTATAGAACCTAAATCACTATGTGACAAAAGTCTGTGTGTCCGTTCCACTGATAACTAGTGAACCACTACCCTGATAGTTACCAAACTGGCATTTACTCTTAAAGTCCCCCTGGTAAGTGACCGAGATGGGCTGACGGTATGTCTCACTTGTGTACTGAACAGGCAGCATATATCAAGACTGCTACAATTATCCTGAACTGGACCAAAAATAGTAATTTTACCTTGCCGATAAAAGTTTTCTTCTCGAAGAATACAAACTAGAGCTAAGAATTTGTTTATTTCCCGGAGATACAAAACTGTACTGTTGTTTAACTTGATGGTACTACAGGACAGTTCATCAAACGTGGTCTCGTCAGTCTCTTCTGGTAAACTGAAAAATAAAATCTTGTTGTAAAATATATTCTGTTCAGTCAAGCTGGAAGATACAGTCATGTTGTAAAATATATTCTGTTCAGTCAAGCTGAAAGATACAGTCATGTTGTAAAATATATTCTGTTCAGTCAAGCTGGAAGATACAGTCATGTTGTAAAATATATTCTGTTCAGTCAAGCTGGAAGATACAGTCATGTTGTAAAATATATTCTGTTCAGTCAAGCTGGAAGATACAGTCATGTTGTAAAATATATTCTGTTCAGTCAAGCTGAAAGATACAGTCATGTTGTAAAATATATTCTGTTCAGTCAAGCTTGGAAGATACAGTCATGTTGTAAAATTATTCTGTTCAGTCAAGCTGGAAGATACAGTCATGTTGTAAAATTATTCTGTTCAGTCAAGCTGGAAGATAC